GACCTCTGGTATGTTAGGAGTCCCTGTGTGATCTGATTTTATTTTTTGACTTTAGTTTGTTTTGGTTGGTTTTCTTTCTTTGCCATGATTTTATTTTCTCTGGTGACATCTATTTAGCTGTAGGAGTGCTTCCATCTAGAGCAGTCCCTTTAAAATATCCTGTAGAGGTGGTTTGTGGGAGGCAAATTCCCTCAACTTTTGCTTCTCTGGGAATTGTTTAATCCCTCCTTCAAATTTCAATGATAATTGTGCTGTATATTGTATTCTTGATTCAAGGCCCTTCTGTTTCATTGCATTAAATATATCATGCTATTCTCTTCTGGCCTGTAAAGTTTCTGTTGAGAAGTCTGATGATAGCCTGATGGGTTTTCCTCTATAGGTGATCTTTTTCTCTCTCTGGCTGCCTTTAATACTCTGTCCTTGTCTTTGATCTTTGCCATTTTAATTATTATGTGTCTTGTTGTTATCCTCCTTGGGTACCTTGTGTTGAGAGATCTGTGGGCTTCCATGATCTGAGAGACTATTTCCTCCCCCAGTTTGGAGAAGTTTTCAGCAATTATTTCTTCAAAGACACTTTCTATCCCTTTCTCTCTCTCTTCTTGTTCAGGTACCCCTATAATGAGAATATAGTTCCATTTGGCTTGGTCACACAGTTCTCTTAATATTCTTTCATTCCTGGAGATCCTTTTATCTCTCTCTGTCTCAGCTTCCTTGTATTCCTATTCTCTGATTTCCATTCCATTGACAGCCTCTTGCACCTCATCCAGTCTGCTCTTAAGTCCTTCCAGAGATTGTTTCATTTCTGTTATTTCCCTCCGGACTTTATCCCTTAGCTCTTGCATATTTCTCTGCAGGTCCATCAGCATGGTTATGACATTTATTTGAATTCTTTTTCAGGAAGATTGGTTATATCTATCTCATAGGCCTTCTCACTGGGGTTGTTTGAGTGATTCTTGAGTGGACCAGATTCTTCTGCATTTTCATGGTGACAGAGGTGGTTGCGGGCAGGCGGTGCATGTGTCAGCTAAGAGAACAAAGTCCCTTTCTGCTTGCTGGTCACCTTTCCCTTCTCCACTGAGTGTGTCAGTTACCCGCAAGCAGGGATCAGTCTCTGGGTTAATCCCCTGAGCTACTGTGCATGGGGCAGCCCTTAGGCTAGCCCAGGGCCCTGTGGGGAGTGGCAGATGCGTAGTGTGTGTTCTCCTGCTAGAACAGCCCCCCTTCATGCCTTCTGAACCTTGCTCTCACTTCCTCTGTCTGTGGTGAGCAGCTATGTGCCAGTGGCAGCCTCTGGGTCTGTCCCAGTTAGCTGCGCACTGGGAGGAGACCGTGTGGTTGCTGTGGGTGGGGCTGCTCTCTGGCTGTTCCGCAGCTGTGGCGGGTCAGCCAGTTTGGTTGTAGCTCTGGCCAGGGGGGAATGAATGGCAGGCTGCTTATCTCCATGAGGGACTTTGGGGCTGGGTTACCCCCCAGGGGGTTGGGGCACCTGAAGTTCCTTAGGATTCCCAGCCTGCTGGGCTGAGTGTACTGGAACGATTTTGTCCAACTGTTAAGCCCATGTCCCTTTAAGATTTTTAAAAAGATACTCCTTTTCTTTGGTCCCAGGGGAGCTTGCTGTGGGAACCCGCTCACAGTGTCTGTCTTGGATTTTACTTTTCCATTTCTCTAATATCCAGTACACCATGCAATGTGTGTCTGTGCTCCCAGTGCAGATTACTAGGGCTGGATTATTTAGCAGCCCTCTGCTTCAACTCCCTCCCACTCTGACTCTTTTCCTCCCACCAGTGAGCTGGGGTGGGGGGAAGTGCTCAGGTTCTGCCAGGTCATGCTTCATATCTTACCCTTTTCCTGAGATGCTGAGTTCTTGCAGTTGTAGATGTAGCCTAGCTGTTGTACTGTATCTTCTGGTCTCTCTTTTAGGCATAGTTGCATTTGTTGTATTTTCAAAAATATATATATGGTTTTAGTAGGAGATTTCTGCCGCCCACTCAGGCCACCATCTTGAGCCTCTCCTCCCATAGTATTTTATGAGAAATAAGCTATTAATCTTATTGAGGCTCACTTGTATGTGATGATTTCTCTGTCTTTGACTATTGACATTTTGATCATTATGTGTCTGGTTCTGCATCTTTTTGAGTTTACCCTACTAGAGAATCAGTGACCTTCTTGAATGTATAGATTAATGTTTATCACTAAATCCAGGGAGTTTTTGGCCATTATTTCTTCAAATATTTTCTTCTATCCCTTTCTCACCTCCTCCCTCTCGACTCAAATTATATGTATATTGGTATACTTGCTGGTGTCCTACATTTCTTTGATGATCTGCTTATTTTTATTTTCTTTTTCTTTCTATTCCACAGACTGGATAATCTCTCCAAAATATCTTCAAGTTCATGATTCTTCTGTAAGTTCAAATCTGCTATTGAGCCTATCTAGCAAATTTTTCATTTAAAGTGTTGTGTTTTTCAAATCCTAAATTTCTATTTAGTTCATTTTTCCAATTTTTATCTCTTTACTGATATGCTCTATCTGTTAAGACAGCATTCTTAATACTTTCCTATAGTTTCTTTGACTTTTTTTCTAGTCCTCTAAACATATTTACAATAGTGTAAATCTACAAAAATAAATTGTTTAGTAAGTCTAACATTTTGGCTTCCTCTAGGACTTTTTTCCATTGTTAGGCAATACTTTCTTTGCATGCCTTGTTATTTTTGTTGAAAACTGTACATTTTAAATATATGGCAATTCTGAAATTCAGATTCCCCTCACAGCCAAAGTTTATTGTTATTGCCGTTGCTGTTTGTTTAGTGATTTTCCTGAACTTGATCTGTAAAGTCTTTACTCTTTATTGTACGTGGCTGCTGGAATCTCAGCTTGGTTAGCTTAGTCAGCTAAGGATTGGACAGTTTCTTTAAACTACTTAGCTACAGTTTCCTTACATTTAAATCTAAGTTCCTTAAATTTAATTTTAAATTCCTTTAAAAAGTCTCTGAGCCTCTGCTGAAGAAATCTCTCTGAGTGGTGGAGCATGACTTCAATGTTCAGGCAGGCAGTTTACAACTCTGTCTTAACCTTTGCTTCTTTCTTACACAGAGCCTCAAAGTCAGCCAGAAGTGAAAGCGTCAGGCATTCTCAGGCCTTAGGCATGCATATGGCCTTCTGAATTCCCAGATATATGTAGGGTGCATTTCAAAGCCCTTTATGGCCATCATACTTCCCAAATATTCCTTTTAAATTTTGGGATCAGCTTGTTGTTTTTGCCCAACTGTTATCATTGCCTCAGGCAACTTGATGTTTTAAAAACTGCCAGAGAGGTCAAATAAGAGTTACCTAGGAAAAGGCTTTGAATGGGGACCAACCCTGTTCTGCCAACCTCCACAGGCTGCTAAGTGATTTTCTAGACGTCTATGGGACTTGGAGAAAAGTATGGAACTACAGCCAATTAAAATTCCCAAAAAACTCACTGCCATTACCAAGATTCAACTGTTTTTCTTGATAAACATTCCCAATTGTTGCAACTAGGTGGTTAATTTCCTGAGTTCTCAAAAAGATGAATTTGACAAATTTTTCCAGTGTTTTTTTTTTTAATAGAGGAGAGGAGTTTTGGAGACCCTATTCCACTCTTCTGGCTGATGTCACACAATTAAATCTTTAGGTAAGTGTTTTACCTATAGCCATCCACATATCTGAACCCCTCTCCTACTTTACTCTCTTCCAAAAGGAGATTATAATTTAGCAGTGAGGCTCAGATGGAAACTTTTGGACCAATGGCCATGAAATATCATTTAAAGCCTAACAGGTAAATTTAAGTCTTTTAGTGCAGTACTGCATATATAGAAAAGTGAATGTGAGAGTAATTGTATTCTTTCAATACACATGCCACATGGGTACTGTCTCTTTCTTACATGTCATGACTCTCTGCTACTACTTCATAAGTCCTTCACTGCACAAATACCTATTAGTGTCCACTGCTGGGAGAATGGCTGGCCGTTACTCTGCATCTGGCACAAGGGGCTCCATTGCTACAGAAGCTCAGGTAATAACATTAAGACAGTCCAAATTCCCAAGGTTCTAGTTGTCACCATGACAGATTAAGCTAAAATCAATCGAACAGATAAAGCTCTTTATATGTCCCACTTAGGCTACTTCAAACCCCAAATCAAAATTTTACAACAGGGTCATCTTAATTACAATACCTTAAGCAGCATCATTTTTCACAGTCTATCAAAGCATTTGCCTTGGGGTGAGATCTTACCTTCACTTTAGAGAGGAGAAAATTCAGACATTTCCTTCAGAGACTTTCAGAAGAGCAATCAGTAGGTTTACAGCAAAGCCAAGACTCATATGAAGTCACTGATATTTCCAAAAGATATTTCAATTCACTTAAATAGCAAAGCTTAAGTGTAACAGAATTCAGCAAATATCAGACTTTTGGAACTGCAACTGCAGCTTGAGAATGCAGCTACGTCATCTGGGAGTCTCTGACTTCTTATCTTTTCTACATCCCTATTTCTGGGAACTTTTTGCACCCACCCATTCACCTCAGGGCTAAACTGTCTCATATACACAGAGCCCAAAATGCCCACGGCCTGCTTTCGTCTTGGTGGAACCCCTGTGAGAAGGTAACCAAATCGTCTCTCTACTCTCTGGGGGCCAGAAACAATCCCTGTGCCCGGATGGGCCAGTCCGGCTCACCCCTGCTTTCCTTTGCCTGTCCACAGCGCCTTCCGTACCGCACCAACATCTCTGACTAGGCGACCACGGCGCTCTCGAGATTTAGAAAGGCAACTCCGACGCGGGGCGCGGCCGACTACGGCAGGCGCTGTGTTTGCCAAGCTGCGAAGTTGCTTAGCAACGCCGCAGGAAGTGACGGAAGCCGTCTCCAAGGAACGAAAAACGCGCCCCAGTCCGCCTTAGGGCTGGAGAATAGTGGTTGCGCCTGCGCGGAAGGCTGCAGCAGGGCGTGAGAGGAGGGTGTCGCAGGCGCGGGCACTGGGCCGGAGACCTGAGATCGCGGAGTGGCCCGGAGGCCAGGACGGCTTCAGACGCCTCGTCTAGGTAGGTGAGGAGCTCCGGAGCTCGGCCGGGCGTGGTGCTCGTATTCTCGTCCAACGCGCACCTCCCGAAGGGTGACCCCCAGCGAGGTCCCGGTGCCTACCTTGGGGCGGACTTGGCAGGGGTGTGGGAGAGCGGGGCCTAGGCTTTGTGTGTGCGTCCCGCAGAGCTCCGCGCAGGTAGAAACTAAAGGACAAAGTCCTCTCGTAACTATAGAAACCAGGGTTAAAAATAGAAAATCTATTTTTAATTGCTTTGGTTAATATAGAATGATCCAGGCTAGATGGGACTTATAAAAAAAAAGAAATGTTAAATCTTGGATGTTGTCCCAAAACATTCATGTTAACACCTATTTAAAATTGCTTGGCAAATGCAGTATGATAAATTGAATTCATTTGTGCTTCCAATAAGACCTCTTGAGGACACAAAAATCTGTTAAGAGTGGATGCAGGCTTGGTTTCAAAGGATCATTTTTTAAGCACATTGAAATACGTATGATTTCATTACAAGTTAGTTGGCTAGACACATACACATTTAGGCACCAAAACTGGAGTCATTCAAAATGAAAGGAGGTAAGATTTTTAATCACTAAAATTCTAACACGTAGTTGTACTGTTTTTTTTCAGGTTTTCTATCAGATGTTCCACCATAATAATGCTGGTAAGTATGAAAGGATTAATAAAAATATTTGACAGAAATTAGTTTTTACATATAGCATTGGTGTGTTCGGAAGTATTGTTTTAAAAAAGAGAAACTGGGAAGGGTCAGATTTTACCTTACTTGCATGCTAACAACTTAGCCTGCCACAGTTTTGTAGAAGACACAGACCTGCAGGTTGGAGATAAGTTACTTACAGCAGTAGCAGTAGCCAGAATATCACTAATTTTGCCCCAGATCCCACAGGATGATGTGAAGAGGGCCAGAAGTCATCTTCACACAGAGTTGTGTTTCATTACAGGACAGGAACTCTGAGCTTAGGGAACCCAGATCTTTGTTATAATAGAAAATAAGTATGCCTTCCAAGACTGTTCACTGTACATACATTTTTTTAGACAGTAATTCATACCAAAGGGCAGTAAGTGCCTTGTGTTTAAGACATGCAAAACCACCTATGGAGAATTACCTCCTGACAAAAGTTCTCTCGAATTTTAATTTAATTGGTTACAAAAAGTATTGAATCTTAAAAGATTTGATGTCAGAGTAGTGACTCTATAGCATCTTACTACGCTGATGGACAGTGACTGTAATGGGTTATGTGGTAGGGACTCGATAATGGGGGGAATCTAGTAACCACAGTGTTGCTCATGTGATTGTACATTAATGATACCAAAATTTAAAAAAAGAAAAAGATTTGATGTTAGTAATTTGCCAGTTTGACTTGGTAGTCAGATACCATTTGACTTCCAACACCTGGTTCTAACTCAAACCCATGGACTTTATAGCCAAGTTGATCCAGAGTTAGTTATTTATACCTTTATAACCTCCACTCCTTTTTTTCTTTGATGTAAAATAAGAACATAGCATATGCCTTTTGATCTGAAACAGAGTTTAAATTATTCTGGGGAGAAAGATTTTATTACAAAATCAGTGTAGAAAAAGAATGCACTGCAGTTGAACCAGCCATGATCCTACCACTGTACACTAGACATTTATTTTTTTTAAACAAAAATAGGATTATACTCTACCTACCTTTCTGACTTGCTTGTTTAATTTGAACTGAACATACTAGCTTTTACTGGCTAAATAAATACTACATTTTATTGCTGTCATATATATTAACCAATACCCAATTCTTGTATGTTTATGTAGTTTCTAGTTTTCATTATTTAAAATGCATATAAGCCATTGTTAGACTAGAAAATATTGCAGATGTACCAAATATGTACAACTCTTGCTTTTAGAGAGAATAGTTATTAACTGTTTTTATAGTTTTAACAAATCGGTTTCAAGATAGATTCACATTCTTAAAACTAAGTCTTTATGTACATCCTTAATTTTTGGAGACTTTTATTTCAAGTACAGCACTAAGTTTTTAAAAGTTTATTGAGAACAGAAAATGGTATTTATCTATTAAAAATGGAATCTGGAAACCTCAGCATAGTCAGCCTAACACTTGTGATTTTATCCACTAGATAAAAACATATTCGTATAACATTCCCTGTTTTGTGTTTAAGGGTCTTGTTTAACCAGTTTTATGTCTCCCTTTGGCAATAAGTGCTTTTCTGATGTAAGAGAAAACAGCATAATTAGAAAACAAATTTTTAAAAATCTTACTTTTATTAATTTTAGGAGTTGAGAAGTCTCCATTCTTTTGCTCCAAACCAGAAGATTTTGTTCCCAGTATACAGAGGAGGAGTAATGTTGGACAGAAACTGGCTGGTGTTTAAAACTGAAGAATGTCATGACTGTTTTACCTGAGGTCTTTGCTGAGATTAAGATAAATTGCCTTGGAAATACTAAATTGGGTAAGTATTTTTTAAAAGGTTTATATTGAGTAGTAACAAAAAAACTAATAGAAAAATATGAAATTAAGAAAAATACACTTTTAGATAGAAATTAATAGTCAGCAATGGCTCTATGTTAATTTCAGGCTTATGAGACATCTTACTATTTTGAGGTTAATAGTTAAGGAATTTCAATAACCTGTGGTTAATTAAATCCAGGGTTGAGGCAGTTTTCAACCAACAACGAGTTAACATTTGAAAAATATTTTAAAATTATATGTAAATTTAGAATTTGAAAAGTATGTTTAAAATGTGCATGGGTGCCATACTAATGTGATTGCCAACTATGACTTACTGCTATTTATTAGATTGTTTCTATAAGAAAGTGAATTCTGCACGTAAACATCTGGGAGTTAGTGAGAGACTAACTGGGATTGCACATTTCAAGATACAAAGATCCAGAGTATCAGAATATTATATACTGTCAAAATTCACACAACAGCAGATATGCCTCTATGTTAGTTATTCTCCAGATATTCTCAATTGAGAGACACTGAATATTTATATAAGTCATGAGCTCTATTCTCAATTTCACCTACTGGATATATGTTGTTATAAAGTAGAGTCCATGTGGCTAATTGCCATGTTTTCTACTTTTAATTTTTGTCTTTTTCTTATTGGTGTTCTTCACTTTTTTATTTAGGAAATCTTGCTAAATCATCAGAATGCTTATAAAGTAGATCACAGATGTGGTATTATGGTTAGTGTGTATTTTTAGACTAATGAATGTTTCTATGCAGTTAAACATATTTTTGCCAGAATAACCTACTTAGTATTTTATTTTTTAAATAACTAATAGATTTTAGTATTCTATTTCTTAGGCACTAGAGTATGGTATAAAGCATGAACTTTGGAGCCAAGCAGACCTGACTGCAGATTCCAGCTCTGCCACTTAACTAATGCTTAACCAACTTAACTAATGCTCTAATTTACACATCTTTAAGACAAGGATAATAATTCCTATTTAACAAGGTTATGACAGTTAATAGAGATGATAAGATTGGTAAATTCGTAGTCCAGTGCCTGGCATATAGTTATATTCAACTAGTTGTGACTTAAAAACACTTTTTTTGTTTACACACACTAATTGTAGTTTTTCCTAGATAGTCTGTATAATTCTCTTTTTGACATAATTTTCATCCATACCATCTGTTGACCAGTGTATTTTTAACTTTTCTCTTGAGATTTATAATTAATGACCTTATTTATCTTTTAACAGTAACAAAGGCTAAAGTAATTGTCATATCATAAGCAATGTGACTATTCACATAGATTACTTGGTACATCAGAGCTAAACCACATAAAGAAAATATAAATAATGAAAATTGTTAATAAAAGTTGCTTCTAGTCTATAAGAATTGACATCCAGTTCAAATAATTTGTTTAAAATTTCAAGTACAGCATCAAGCAACCATTTAGTTATGACATTGGCTTTGCTGATTTCAAGCTAAGCACCTTTTTTTGAAAAATTATTCAAATTCTGCAAGATTTCATGTTTTGGTCAGAATTTTGGTTAGTACACAGAATCTATATGAGGATTATTGTAAACATTTAAAAATAGTAAGTTTCTGATTGGTGATTTAAAGACAGAGTAATTAGTCTACATTTTTTCTGTCTTATTTTAGAACTTCTAAATTAGGGTATAAGAGAATAATTGTTTCATTACATCTATCATTGGATTGTTCTATATGTTAATTCTGAGTACTCAAATAATCATCCTCACAGGAACTCAATACTGTAAGTATGTTTTTTAGATATTCTGTTTTCCATTTGCTTAGAATACTAAAATACGAACTTTGTTCTTAGAAAAAGCACTTTAATAGTCATCTTAAAACACTTAATTATCTTATTTGTTTTAGCAGACTAACACTGAGTAATATTTGTTAAATAAGTGTAATAGTTAGATATGTAAAACAGAGTATGTTTAGGGATTAATATATCTTTTTTTCAGGGTAATGCAAATCTGTTTCTGGAACCATGAAAATTTTGCTGGTTTTTGACTTCGACAATACAATCATAGATGACAATAGTGACACCTGGATAATACAATGTGCACCAGAGAAAAAGCTTCCTATTGAACTACAAGAGTCTTATGAAAAGGGATTTTGGACAGAATTTATGGGCAGAGTCTTTAAGTATTTGGGAGACAAAGGTGTAAGGGAAGATGAAATGAAAAGAGCAATGACATCCATGCCTTTCACTCCAGGAATGGTGGAACTTTTACACTTTATACAAATGAAAAAAGATAAATTTGACTGCATCATTATTTCGGATTCAAATTCAGTCTTCATTGATTGGGTTTTGGAAGCTACCAATTTCCATGATGTATTCGATAAAGTGTTTACAAATCCAGCAGCTTTTGATAGCAATGGGCATCTCACTGTGGAAAATTACCATGCTCATTCTTGTAATAGGTGCCCCCAAAATCTTTGCAAGAATGTAGTTTTGGTAGAATTTATAGATAAACAGTTACAGCAGGGAGTGAATTATACCCAAATTGTTTATATAGGTGATGGTGGAAATGATGTCTGCCCAGTAACCTTTTTAAAGAAGAATGATGTTGCCATGCCACGGAAAGGATACACTTTACAGAAAACTCTTTCCAGAATGTCTCAAAATCTTGAGCCTATGGAATCTTCTGTTGTAGTTTGGTCTTCAGGTGTTGAAATAATTTCTCATTTACAATTTCTAATAAAGGAATAATATGCCAACAGTTGAACTGTGTATCAGTTAAGATTAGGTGCATCCACGTAAAACTAAAACCACAAGTACCAGTGACTTAAGAAAAAGATTTTTTCCTCTCACTTAAAGGAATTCCAGAGGTAAGTATCTCAAGGTTACTGTTGCTCTACCAGCCTCAGTACTTGGCGTCCAGTTCATGCTCCAAGATGGCTGCTCAAGCTCCATTCCTTGCAGCGGTATTCTGGCCAGCAAGGAGGAGCACCATGAGTGAGTAGGTTGTACCTTCATTTACATTTCTTTGGCCAAAACTTAGTTATAATGCTTCTGCTTAAAAAAGAAATACAGCTTTTGTTCCATAGGATCATATGCCTTGAAAATTTTGGAAAAAGGAGCATGGGATTGAGGTAAGTGCAACTAGTGGTCTCTACCAAGGGTAGTTGGTAGATAGGTTATGTATTTTAATTTATTCCCAGAGATAGTAGTCATATATTTTACTTTCTTAGATATTTATTTCAAAAGCACGTCAAATAGTTATTATCTTAGAAATAAGCTTGATATTTTATTCACATGAGTAAAGGGCTCCCAAATATGTACAATGTCCTACTCCCAAATCAGTGTATAATAGGGATTCAGTATCTATTGCCCTAGTTTTAATCAATTTTACACATTTCCTTTTGAAATGAAATACAAATTAATGTTCTTAAAAATTTTAAATTTATATCAACAGCACAGACCATAATTCCAGTTTGCTGGATTAATCAGTGTGAGTGAACTTGGAACCATTCCTTTCTCTCTAATTTTTTGGAATAGTTTGAGGGTAGGTATTAACACAGCTTTAAATATTTGGTAGAATTCACCAGTGAAACAATCTGGTTCTAGACTTCAGTTTGTTGGCAGTTTTTTGATTACTAAGTTAATTTAATTGCCAGCAATCAGTCTTTTCAGATATTCTCTTTCTTACTGATTCATTCTTGGAAGGTCATATGTTTCTAGAAATTTATCCTTTTCTTGTAGGTTGTCCAGTTTTTTGGCATATAATTTGTTATAGTAGTCTCTTATAAGCCTTTGTATTTCTGTTTTAACTTCTCTTTCATTTTTAATTTTTAATTCATTTTTAATTTGTCTTCTCTATGTTTATTTGATGGGCCTGGCTTAAAGTATCAATTTTGTTTATCCTTTCAAAGTACCAGGTCTTACTTTCATTAATACTTCTGTTGTTTTTCTAGACTCTATTTTATTTATTTCTACTTTGATTCTTTATTATTTCCTTCCTTCTACTAAATTTGGACTTTGTTTATTTTTCTTTTTCTAGTTCCTTTAGGTTTAAGGTTAGATTGATTCTTTGAGGTATTTCTTGTTTCTTGAAGTAAGCCTGTGTAACTATCAATTCCTTGCTTAGAACTGCTCTTGCTGAGAAGCAAAGATTTTGAACCATGTATTATGTTATTTAGCCTTCACATATTTTGTGTTTTTTTCCAATTTTTTTCTTGTAATTTCTAGTTTCATACCATTGTTTTCAGAAAAGATGCTTCATAGGATTTCAGTCTTGTTAAATTTACTGAGACTTTTTTCGTGGCCTAACATGTTATCTATCCTGAGGAATGGTCCATGTCCACTTGAAAAGAATGCATATTCTGCTGTTTGGGGATGAATGTTCTGTATATATCTGTTAAGTAAATCTGGTCTGATGTATCATTGAAATCCACTGTTTCTGTATTGATTTTCTGTCTAGATGATCCATCCATTGATATAAGTGGGGCATTAAAGTCCCCTACCATTATTGTAGTACTCTCAATTTCTCCCTTTATGTCTGTTAATATTTGTTTTATATAGTTAGATGCTTCTGGGTTAGGTGCATAAATATTTATAATTGTTATATCCTTCTGATAGATTGGTCCTTTTATCATTATGTCATAACCTTGTCTGTTACAGTCTTTGTTTTAAAGTCTGTTTTGTCTGATATATGTATTGCTATCCCAGCTTACTTTTTTGCTTCCATTTGCATGTAATCTCTTTCTTTAATTGAAATATCATTGATATACAATCTTATATAAGTTTCAGGTATATAACACAGTGGTCAACAGTTATCCGTATTATTAAATCCTCACCCCTGTTAGGGCAGTTACTATCTCTCAACATAGGAAGATGTTACAGAATCATTTGGCTATATTTCCATACTGTACTACCATCCCCATCACCAACTTACATTATGATTGAGAATTTTTATGCCCTTTCATTCCCCCACATCCTCTCCACCACCCACCCCAACTACTCCCCCACAGTAACCATCACTCACTTCTCAATGTCTATGAGTCTTTGCTTTTTGTTTTGTTTTGTCTTGTTTTTATATTCCATGAATAAGTAAAATCCTATGGTGTTTGTCTTTCTCTGCCTGGCATATTTCACTGAGCATAATACTCTCTACATCCATCCATATTGTTGCAAATGGCAGGATGTCTTTTTAATGGCTGAATAATATTCCATTGTGTTTATATACCACATCTTTATCTGTTCATCTATTAATAGACACTTAGGTTGCTTCCATATCTTGGCTATTGTAAATAATGCATCAGTAAACAAGGTGCATATATCTTTTCAAATCAGGGATTTTGTTTTCTTTGGGTAAATTCTTAGAAGTGGAATTACTGGGTCAAATGTATTTCTATTTTTAGTTTTTTGAGGAACCTCCGTATTGCTTTCCACAGTGGCTTCCCCAGTTTACATTCCCACCAACAGTGTAGGAGGATTCCCTTTCTTCCACGTCCTAACCAACACTTGTTCTTTGTTGTCATTTGTATAGTGGCCATTCTGACTTGTGTGAGGTGATATCTCTTTGTGGTTTTGATTTTCATTTCCCTGATGATTAGTGATGTGGAGCATCTTTTCAAGTGCCTGTTAACCATCTCTATATTTTTGGAAAACTATCTGTTTGGGTTTTCCACCCATTTTTAAATTGTATTATTTGTTTTTTTGGTGTTGAGGTATATGAATTCTTTACAAATTTTGGAAGCTAACATCATTTACGATATATTCTCCCATATAGTAGTTGCCTTTTTGTTCTGCTGATGCTGTCCTTTTGCTGTACAGAAGCTTTTTACTTTGATGTCCCATTTCTTCATTTTTCATTTTTATTTCTCTTGCCCAAGATGTGTACAGGAAAAAATTAATCATGGTTATGTTTAAGAGATTTTTGTATATGTTTTCTTCTAAAAGAGTTATGGTTTCATGTCTTACATTTAGGTCTTTAATCCATTTTGAGTTTATTTTTGTGCATGAAGTTGGACAGTAATCCACTTTCGTCTTTTGCATGTGGCTGTCCAGTTTTCCCAACATCAGTTATTGAAGAGACTGTCTTTTCCCCATTGTATATTCATGGGTCCTTTATTGTATATTAAATGACCATATATGCATGGGTTAATATCTGGGCTCTCTCTTCTGTTCCATTGACCTATGGATTTGTTCTTGTGCCATTATCATACTGTTTTGATCAGTGTACCTTCGTAGTAGAGTTTGAAGTCAAGGAGCATATTATCTCCAGCCTTGTTGTTCTTTCTCAGAATTGCATTGGCTATTCAGGGTCTGGTGGTTCCATATGAATTTTAAGATCATTTGCTCTAGTTCTTTGACAAATGCCATTGACATTTTGATAGGGATTGCATTGAATCTGTAAATGGCAGGATGGCCCTTTTGACAACATTCTTCATCCATGAGCATGGGATAGCTTTCCATTTATTTGTATCTTCTTTAATTTCTATCATGATTGATAGTTTTCAGGGTACAGGTCTTTCACTTCCTTGGTTAGTTTTACTTCTAGGTATTTTATTCTTTATGATGCATTTGTGAATGGAATTGTTTTCCTGATTTCTCTTCCTACTAGTTCATTGTTAGTATATAGGAACAGAACAGATTTCTGTGTGATAATTTTGAATCCTGCAACTTTGCTGAATTCAGTTATGAGTTCTAGTAGTTTTTGGTGGAGTCTTTAGGGTTTTCTATCTATAATATCATGTCACCTACAAATAGTGACAGTTAACTTCTTCTTTACCAGTTTGGATGCCTTTTATCTTTGTGTTGTCTGATTGCCATGGCGAGGACCTCCAGTACTATGTTGAGTAAAAGTGGTGAGAGTGGGCATCCTTGTCTTATACCTGATCTTAGAGGAAAAACTTTCAGCTTTTCGGCATTGAGTATGATGTTGGCTCTGGGGTTGTCATATATGGCCTTTATTATTTTGAAGTACATACCCTCTTATACCCATTTTGTTGAGTTTTATCATAAGTTGGTGATGAATTTTGTTAAATGCTTTTTCACCATCTATTGAGATGAGTATGTGGTTTTATTCCTTCTTTTTGTTAATGTGGTGTGTCACATTGGTTGATTTATGAATATTTTACCATCCTTGCATCCCATAAATCCAACTTGGTAGAGGTGGATGATTCTGTTGATGTATTTTTTTAATTCAGTTTGCTAATATTTTATGAGGATTTTTACATCTATGTTCATATTGGTCTATAATTTTCTTTTTTTGTGGTGTCTTTGGTTTTGGTATTAGAGTCGTGCTGGCCTCATAGAATGAGTTTAGAAATATTCCCTTTCCTACTTTTTGGAATACTTTAAGAAGGATGGGTATTAGCTCTTCTTTAAATGTTTGGTAGTATTCGACTGTGAAGCCATCTATCTGGTCCTGAACTTCTGTTTTGGGGAGTTTTTTTTACCAGTTCATTTTCATTTTTGGTAATTGGTCTGTTCAGATTTTCTGTTTCTTTCTGTATCAATCTTGGTTATATTTTTCTGGAAGTTGTCCATGTCTTCTAGGTGGTCCAGTTTATTGGCATATGATTTTTCATAAAATTGTGTAATAATTCTTTGTATTTCTGTGATATCCATTGTGACTGTTCCTTTTTCATTCTGGTGTTGTTTATTTATGTACTCTGTCCTTTTCTTCTTGAAATGTCTGGCTAGGGGGTTTCTGTGTTTTGTTTATTTGCTTAAAGAACCAGCTCTTGGTTTTGTTGATTTTTTTCTGTTTCACCC